TTTTTTGAGACAGAGTCTTGCTCTGTCACCACCCAGGCTGGAGTGCAATGGCACGATCTTGGTCACTGCAACCTCTGCCTCCCAGGTTCAAGAGATTCTCCTTCCTCAGCCTCCTGAGTAGCTGGGATTACAGGCACCCACAACCACGCCCGGCCAATTTTTATATTTTTAGTAGAGACGGGATTTCACCATGTTAGTCTTGCTGGGGTTGAACTCCTGACCTCAGGTGATCCACCCGCCTCAGCCCCCAAAGTGCCGGGATTACAGACATGAGCCACTACGCCCCAGTCCACATTGTATTTCTTGAAGGATATCCTCATCTTCCAGTTATTTCTCAATCCTTTTCAGTCTGGCTTCCTTGCATTAATTCATGAAAACAGCTCTTATGAGGGTGACCCATGACCTTCCTGTCACTAAATCCATGGGCATGAAACTTTCTTACTGGTGGTTGACTTCTTCTCAATACCACACCACCATCCCTCTGCTTTTCCTTCAACCTTTCTGGCCTTGTCTTAGTTTCCTTTGAAGAGTTATCCTCCTTTACCTTGTCTTTAAGTGACAGAATTCCTCAAGACTCCGTGCTTTGTCTTTTCTCACTCTACTCTTGCCCTAGGTTGGCCTCATCATTGACCATGTCTTCAACACCATCTATATCCTGTTGAGTCCCAAACTTGTTTCTCTACCTTGGGCCTCTCCGTTAAGCCCCAGCCCTGTGTATCTCCAGCTGTTTATCTCACGGGCACCTCAAACTCAATTTATGTCCACACCGACCCTGTGCTTCCTCCTCACTCAACCTTCCCTCCAAACAAAATCCAGTTCTTTTCTAGTAGTTTCATAGTCCAAAAGCCTGTGAATCATCCTTGACTCCCTGTACCATCTCTGCCCCCTGTGCCATCCTTCGCCCATTCCCGTTGTGCCCCTTTCTTTTCTGGGAAAATCTCCCACCGTGAGTCGTCTGGGTGGTTGACAGTGCCCCAGCTCCCACTGTGAAAGACAAAGGGGCTAACATCCTCCCTCTCGCTGTCTCCTAGCAGCTGAAGCATTGCCTGTGACCTGACCTTGGTTGATTGGCTGTGTCTGCCAAGAACTTTGCATAGTGAGAGTAAAACCAAGAAGGTACCATTAGAAGTCATTCATGAATGTATCAGTGGAGTTCTGGCTGTGTTGATCCTGCTTCATGTATTTCTTATTCTATCTTGGTTCCTGCCCCACCACATTTTCCATGCTGGTGTGCTAGCCCCCAGTAGATTTATCCTACAAATACCCCCATTTGTTTAAGATACCCAGAGAAGGGTTTTGTTATTTGCCACCAGAAAAGCTGTGACCAATACAAGCACTGA